CATTTTCTTCCTATTGTACATAATCACCTCCTCATGCTCTACCAAAATGGCAACCCTTCGAATTCCCTTTATGGTTGAATATTAGAACTTCTTTATTGGGCACACATGCTATGATTATGTCTAATTGCGTGTCATGTACCAGGTGCTTTAAACCTCCTGGCCAGTCTTCTTTACTGACCCAATCAGGTTTATCCCACAGAGTGGTCCCTCGACTCTTAGGTTTTCTGGTGGCCTCATCTAGATGCTTTTGCCTCTTTCCTCAACACAGAGTTACCTCTTTTTTTTTATCTCCAGTTCTTCATTCTCAGGCTCTGTCAATAGATGCTTTGTGTCAGGAATGGACCAACTGATATCTTTGTCTACCTTCCCATCTGATTTTTTCCCAGGGTGATTTTGATTCTCCATTCCACTCCATTTGAGGTGCTTCTGGTTGCTCCTTACTGGCCAGTGCAACTTTTTCCTCATCTCCTTCTGCTCCAAACTACCTCCCAATACCTCTTCCGCTCATTCCATCCTTTCTCCATCAACCTTGGTCACCAGTTCTTCATCCCACTCTTACCACCCTCCGACTTCACACCTAGCATTTATCCAGTCCCTTGCAAGAAGATCTGGATTGTTGGTGCATGATCCTTTCCTTTTAGCATGAACTGTTTGTCCTAGTGGTCTATTAACATAGGTTGTGCATCTTTTGCCATTGTCTTTGAGTGAGGAAATTTCTCCTTCTCGACCTACTGTTCCACTTCTTACAGATATCCTCAGTTGACTATTCAATCAAGGGGCTTTGGTCTCTTCCATAGCTGGTTATAGAGTAACCCTATCGATCACATTCCACTTTTTCAGGTACCATATGGTGTTTTCTTCTCCTACTGTTTCTCTTCTATTGCATTATTTCCAGATTTGTCGACCTTATTATAGGGCAGTTCTTCTGGATTGGAATGTCAGTATTGTTCTTCACTGCCTTACACTTCCTCCTTCTGAACTTTTGTTCTTATGTTCCCTATATCACTTATCCCTTAAGATTTATTTAGTACTCCTTTTAGCTTTTGGGCGTCGTGGGTCTGATATTTTTGCTATCGATGTTTTACATACTCAGTTCCATTTCACATATGTTTTCCTTTATCAGGATTGATTTTTCCTACCCAAAACTTTGGCAGCTAGTGAGGAACATTCTTCCTACTCATTGATTTCCTTTTCCTCTGTTTCCCACCTTTATTCCTGATCTGATTTGGATTGGCTTCTATGTCCTGTTTGTGTTCGTCGTTGTTCCATTGCTTGCACGGCCTCTTTCTGTGGTTCCCTTTCCTGTCTATTCATTTCCTGGCAACTTTCCTCTTTACATGACCTTTCTCCTTCTACCCTTACAGGTTGGGTTTGTCAACTTAATTGACTGACACATTCCTCCCTGTCTTTTTCATCCTGCAATTTATTCCAGATGTCATCCTATCAGATCAGATGCCTTACCTTTTCCTTGGCATCTTATCTCTGTTGTCCACTGGAAGAAATTCTTCAGTCAGGTATGTGAACTACACCTCATACATTCATCTCCAACTACCTGAATTTGGTGGCAGTTTCTTCCTCATTGGGGTATCTCCTTCTGTCTATTGCCATTCTCTAGCTATGATTTGGTAAGTTATCCTTTCTATATCTTATTTATCTTTCCAGTTGCATGTCCATTTTAGATCTAGGGTTCCTCTCAGTGTGGAGCGTTGTCTGTCCAGGTATACTACCTATCTCTCAAATTTGCCCAATTGGATCACACTGTGTACTGTGGTTTCTCGGGTTGATCTGCTGGTGACACCTATGCTCCAACCTCTGAGCAGTCACATCTGAGGTTGATCTTGCACAGGTTACTACCGGCTACTCCTGTTGCTCCACCTCTATGGAAATGGGTTTTAGTGTAGAATTATGTTGCACAGGGTAGCTTGATGAGAGTTGTATGGGATGTCCCACTGAAGTTGTCTTCAGGCAGTGACTGATCCCAAAAATCTTGTATTCTCATGGCTAATAATGCACACTGTTGAAAGGAGGTGTTTCACAAAATCACTAGTAGGTTTTCCTTGAAATATCTTTGCTTCTTTAACCTTTTCCATATTGGTCATGGGTGAAAGGCCAGGTCATTACATTTGTTGACTCGCATTAAAATTTTATTGAACTACTATTTCATGAATTTATGTCAATAAGTTTGGTATCAAACTGTACATTATTATTCAGATTTTAGTATTATACCTTACTCAATTTCTTAACTTAAAAGTAAATATTAAAAAACACAGATAACCATTGATTTTTATTTGTCATGTAGTATGTTGAATGCAGCGCTGGTTCATATTAAATGTTTGTGAAGTCAAAATACTAAGTTTATAGTTTCATACAAATAAGAAACTTAAATTACTGATATTGACAAACTAGAATAAAAAAATAAGAATGTCTTATCTTTTCTATTTGGTA